ATTACTGGTGGGCGACAATTGAGTGATGAAGTAGTGTGTGCGTGGGAACGAGCGAAGGGTGATGAAGTAAAAACGACGATTGCAGACTTGCAGTGACAGAGAAGAATCAATAGGAGGGTGCGACCTTGTTTTTATTTATTGAAACGATGTCGTATTGGGACCGGTATACCATGCAGAAGTTATACTGATCCCACGGTATAATTTGTGCTATAACACGGATGCACAGGAGAGCTCCCCAAACAACCAAGTTCTTAATAATTAAATAAAGGAACATTGTGCCATACAACTTCTGGCATTCAAATCCATTGCATTACTAAGAAATTTTAAAACAGTACACATTGTTCCAAGCTTACATCCTCAAATACACACTACCTACTAAAGCAAGAAGTACAATCATAGTAAACTCATACAACTTCCTACTCTGTTTGTTGACCTTCGCCTCATTGTCAACAACAGTTTTGACTTAACCAACATCACTTGTACTAGCGAAATCTTTAGGACAAGTCCTTCGACCATTTTTTTTCAAATCATCTGCACTTTCGCTCTTCGCTTCAGCCCTGCCATATTCTTCTTTTCTTCAGCCCTCACAATGTGTCGTATGCCTACATCTTCCTTCCATATGAAAAACTGCAACTCCCAACCTGTACACATTAACATGTTAATGGAAATTTTCCAAATCATTAAAATATATAACGTATACAATAAATGAACGACGCAACTCACTTTAATTCAAAACCACACAACCAAAATCATAGACTTACCTTCCATTTTTGACACCCAAAAAAACTTCTCCCACTCTCTCGGCCAACGCATAGAGAAGCTTTCAATCCACACCAACAATGAATAACAGGCTCGTAGTCAAAGGTACGACTTCGTTCTTTTAGAAGCGTAGATGATGATGAAGACGACATACTTGCGAAGGCCTTAGTCTGAAGGGAGAAGGAGAAGGTGCCAGCTTTGAAGTGGGGAATTTGGGAATTTGGGGTTTTGGGGATTTTTACAAATGTGTAGGCTTTGAAGTGGGGAAAAGCCAAATCAGATTAACTGCCCGGTAAGGGAGGGATACGTTGGAGTCCATGTCAGCCATTAACTGGCTAACCTGGCGTCAACCGGCTAAAAAGGCAGATTGGGTGTTTTTGTTGAGTACGCGGACTTGATTGGGTGATTCGGAACTACGAGGGCTTAATTGAGGAATTGACCAAAGTACGAGGGCCTATTTGAGAGTTTTCTCGAATTTAAATGTAATTGTGATCATATATAGTATGTGTTGCTGCACTTGCAAGTTGTAAGATACAAAACTTAGCTTGAGGTTAGTTTCTTTCTCTTCTCTCTAATGCATTTATATTATTTTGGATGGATAAAAGAGATTTTGAATGCAAAGAGAACGAAATATATCTGGTTTTGGTCTTTTGTAAACATAAAATAAATTTAGTTTGTTGTCACACACCACGTGCGTTCAACCTAGAGACAACAAACCACAATTTGTGTTGTATTGTTTGTTGCTAGAACAACCAAAGTGTTATATATACTCCGATCTGTTACATGCTGTTTTAGTTATCAGTTAAAAACTCCTAAACAGTACTAATCATACTAAGATAATCACCGAGTGCTCGCGTGACTTTTTCAATTTGCTGAGAAAGTTCACGGGTAGGTGCCAAAACCAAAGTTTGGCATTCAATTGTGTTGTAATCAAGCATTGCAAAAGGGAGCAATACCTCTTTGATGAATTGCAGAAGGCTTCTCAAGCCTTAACCCAATCCCATAGCAGCATTTAGCTAATCACACACATAAAACTTTAAGGCAAGTAATGATACCATTAAAAGAAAATATAATCTAATACATGTAACAGTAAAAAACGCTAATAACTGTAAAAGTGAAAATCTCTCAAACAATAAACAATAATACATGTGGGATGGAGACTACAATATGATCACTATTATATTAACTTTTACTTTTACAATTGTCTCTTGTTCTCATCAAAGATTTCTGTATATTTTTTCTTCTTTCTTCTAATTTTCACAAACATGCATAGCTTTGGTTTCTGAATCAGATTAGGTTTTAATGGTCAATATTTGTTCAAGTACAACAAATTAAAAATTAACTATGTTTGCATCAATCTATTTCATGCTTTTTAGCTTAATTGAGGATGTCCGCGATCAGTTTAACTAAATTGTTTCAAAAATTCTTGCACAGCTCTATAAGAAGTAAATGTTATAAACTTTCATTAAGAAAATTGTATGATGCATCAAATCAAAAACTGAGCTCATTGTTCAACTTGAGGGAGTTGCATAAACAAGCTTTGAACTCAGCTATTCATACGACATGCATGTTCATATAAATAAAAAAATCATCACTCATACTTCATATTTTATATTTTATTAACATTTGAGTTCCTTGATAGGAAATATTCTTGGAGGAAATATTGTCAACTTTTGAAATAGCAGGCATCTAATATTCTCATAAGCAATTCACAGTTTTCAAACATGTTTCTGTTTAAGTCATAATTAGATTTTTACTTTAAAATAATTTTCAAAAAACATAAGCAGTTTGGGGGTTTCTTTTTGTTTCACATAACTTCAGAAGAAAGAGGTTAATCTTACGTGGCGGGAGTTTTGTTGATGAAAAATATGATTGGATTTAACATCAAATCCTTCAACCTAGCTCTGGTTGGGAGCTTCATTTCGACACAGAACAATTCTGAAACTATTCATAAAGAAAGGGTTTCTACAAGCAATTCGGGAAGGTGATTTCTCAAACTAATTTCTAATCTGTCATGTTTGGTGTTAGAAGTGAAAAAGAAAATGAAGGACTCGAAGGAGACGGGCACTTCTACAGGGAAAAGCCAAAAACTGGACAAGTGAAAGGCGGCGCATATAGAATTTTTCTATTGTGTGAGGTTAACTGTGCAACCTTTTAATTTTTTTAATTGAAGTTGCTTACGTGGGAATGTGTCCAATCATATATAGCCATATGTTGAATGCACCAAAACACTCTATAATATCAATTGGTATACCGTGGGAGCAGCCCACAGTGTGCATGATGCTCCCAAGCCCAAAACACGGGTGAACAGTACATTGTGAAAAGTAACTTTCTTTTTGTCCAGGAGCAGGATGATGTAACTCGCGTGTAAACAAATGTAACTTAAGCTGATAAAAAATGTAACTGCGGGGCAAAGGCAAAATGTAACTTGTCTAATACGAAGTATAAGGAGTAAAACATCGATTTCAATTTAGACAATGAAAACAAGGAATCTGATTGGTCAATTACTTTACGTAAATAGTGAATATGTTTTGTTTTAAATATTAAGGCCATGAAAATGTTCCCCAAAAGTCTTTTTTTTTACCAAAACTTCAATTTTGGGCAATTTTTTTAGTTTCAATAGCAGGGTTTATTTTGTTATGTAATTCGTGTTATGGAAAATTTAATTTAGGTGTATGCAAAATGTAATTTTTTGAGGAAAATCCAAATGTAACTCGCGCATAGGAAGATGTAAATCACACATAAGAAGATATAACTCACGCATAAGAAGTATATTATACAACTTAATATACAACTTTGGTGTAACTTCATATACAACCAAATATAACTGGATGATTGGAAATAAACAACTCAATGTCTTAAAACTCTCTAAAAGATATAAATGAGATTAAATATACAAGTATATTATAAGTGTATGAATAAAAAAGTTACAAAGATAAAAATAGTGTATGAATATGAAATGCAATACACTTTTCATTTAAATTAATAAATTTTTTATTATGAATTTATACAAAAATAGATTGAGTGATAATTTAAGTTGAAGATAAAAGTAAATTAAAGTAATACAATTTAATTTTTAGTATTTTGATGGAGGAGGAGAAAAGAATTGAAGAAAAGGAAAATAAAGCAGAAGAAAAAGCAAACGAAAAGGATGTAACTCGCGCATAAGAAGATGTAACTCGCTTATAAAAAGATGTAACTCCTACACATGAAAAATGTAAATTTTTCATAAGAAGATGTAATTTCCTGTTTGATAAATGTAAATTGAAATAAACAAATTTAATGTCTTAGAAAACACTAAAACTTTTAAAAGAAGTAAAGGAATATATTATAGTAATTAAAATGTAATTGTGATCTTGTGGAAACATAAAGTAAATTTAGTTTGTTGTCACACACCACGTGTGTTCAACCTAGAGTCAATGAACCACAATTTCAATTCTTTGTAATTACTGGTGGGCGACAATTGAGTGATGAAGTAGTGTGTGCGTGGGAACGAGCGAAGGGTGATGAAGTAAAAACGACGATTGCAGACTTGCAGTGACAGAGAAGAATCAATAGGAGGGTGCGACCTTATTTTTATTTATTGAAACGACGTCGTATTGGGACCGGTATACCATGCAGAAGTTATACTGATCCCACGGTATAATTTGTGCTATAACACGGATGCACAGGAGAGCTCCCCAAACAACCAAGTTCTTAATAATTAAATAAAGGAACATTGTGCCATACAACTTCTGGCATTCAAATCCATTGCATTACTAAGAAATTTTAAAACAGTACACATTGTTCCAAGCTTACATCCTCAAATACACACTACCTAGTAAAGCAAGAAGTACAATCATAGTAAACACATACAACTTCCTACTCTGTTTGTTGACCTTCGCCTCATTGTCAACAACAGTTTTGACTTAACCAACATCAATTGTACTAGCGAAATCTTTAGGACAAGTCCTTCGACCATTTTTTTCAAATCATCTGCACTTTCGCTCTTCGCTTCAGCCCTGCCATATTCTTCTTTTCTTCAGCCCTCACAATGTGTCATATGCCTACATCTTCCTTCCATAAGAAAAACCGCAACTCCCAACCTGTACACATTAACATGTTAATGGAAATTTTCCAAATCATTAAAATATATAACGTATACAATAAATGAACGACGCAACACACTTTAATAAATGAACCCAAGGTTGATTCATCAATGTATCAGCGCTTGTGTGGCAAACTTATCTATCTCTCTCATACTAGACCTGACATTGCCTATGCAGTTAGTGTTTTGAGTCAGTTCATGCATGATCCAAGGAAACCACATCTAGAAGCAGCCTATAGGGTTCTTCACTACCTAAAAGGAAGTCCAGGGCAAGGGATAATATTCAGGAAGGGTGGGCAATTATCAGTCCAAGCCTTCACTGATGCAGATTATGGTGGCTCCCTCGTTGACCGCCGGTCAACTACTGGTCCCTGTGTTTTCCTAGCAGGAAACCTCGTGACATGGAGAAGCAAAAAACAGAAGGTTGTGGCACGATCATCTGCTGAATCTGAGCTAAGAGCTCTTGACCATGGCTTATGTGAACTTCTATGGATCAGAATTATTCTCTTAGATTTACAAATCGAGTGGAAAGAACCAATGGAATTGAGGTGTGATAACAAATCATCAATCAACATAGCTCATAATCCAGTCCAACATGATCGGACCAAGCATATTGAGATTGATAGGCACTTTATCAAAGAAAAGGTTGAAGGAGGTCTGATCGAACTAAGCTACACTCCCTCAGAAGATCAAGTTGCAGATGTGTTTACCAAACCTCTGCACAGTCCTAGGTTCCAGGGTCTTATTGTCAAGCTAGGCATGACGAATATCTACAAACCTAGCTTGAGGGGGAGTGTTGATAAAACGAAGAGACATCATTAATCTAGGATTTATTTTCCTTATTATTACTGTAATTATGTATCTTTAGTGCTTCAGGTTGTATTTAATAGCTGTTGTCTTTTCAGTTCTCAATCATTTATGTTTAGTATTTAGACAGTCACCTAGGGTGCTGAATAGACTCTCTCAGGATTCCTATCTGTATAAATAACTTATGTACTTCTTGTAAATGAATTCAAGGAAATAATATTCAGAAAACTTCAAGAAGCGTAGATGATGATGAAGACGACATACTTGCGAAGGCCTCAATATGAAGGGAGAAGGAGAAGGTGCCAACTTTGAAGTGGGGAATTTGGGAATTTGGGGTTTTGGGGATTTTTAAAAACGTTTAGGCTTTGAAGTGGGGAAAAGCCAAGTGAGATTAAATGCCCAGTAAGGGAGGGACACGTTGGAGTCCATGTCAGCCATTAACTAACTAACCGGGCGTCTACCGGTTAAAAAGGCAGATTGGGTGTTTTTGTTGAGTACGCGGACTTGATTGGGTGATTCGGAACTACGAGGGCTTAATTGAGGAATTGACCAAAGTACGAGGGCCTATTCGAGAGTTTTCTCAAATTTAAATGTAATTGTGATCATATGTAGTATGTGTTGCTGCACTTGCAAGTTGTAAGATAAAAAACTTAGCTTGAGGTTAGTTTCTTTCTCTTCTCTCTAATGCATTTATATTATTTTGGATGGATAAAAGAGATTTTGAATGCAAAGAGAACGAAATATATTTGGTTTTGGTCTTTTGTAAACATAAAATAAATTTAGTTTGTTGTCACACACCACGTGCGTTCAACCTAGAGACAACGAACCACAATTTCAATTCTTTGTAATTACGAGTGGGCGACAATTAAGAGATGAAGCAGTGTGTGCGTGAGAACGAGCAAAGGGTGATGAAGGAAAAAAAGACGATTGAAGACTTGTTGTGACAAAGAAGAATCGATAGGAGGGTGCAAGCTTGTTTTTATTTATTGAAACCATTGGGACATGTATACTACACACATTTTATACCAAATATTATAATACCTCCGTTCTTAAATAAATGCAACACTTTGACTTTTATACTATTCACATGTTCTACTTTGACTTCGTTTTATTTATTAATGTAATAATATTATTTTATGAAAAAAATATTGTTAAACTTGTCTCATTGTAATTTTCATAATCTAATTTTTTTAATTTTTTTACTAATAAAAATCATTTATATTAATGGTCAAAGTTGTGTCTCGCCAAGTGTGAAATGTTGACCGTTGCATTTATTATTTAAGAACGGAGAAAATATTACCTATCCCCAAATATAATTTGCCCCGTAATTTGTTATATTTGCCCCTTAATTTGGAGTTCGTATACCGTACGACCGTCCCAGCATGAGCACCGTACACCCACTCCTAAAACTTTTTTTAAAAATGGTAATAACTTTTTAATTTTTGATCCGATTTTTATAAAATTTATATCAACATTTTTTATTTTTCATGATCTTTCAAATGAGACCAATATTGCCTATGTAATTTTAACATATTGTGGAACTATTATATTAACCTATGTAAAATATGTAATTTTACGTGTAAAAATATGTAACTTATGTCTAGTCAGGCCAAATGCAACCCGTGTGTATAAATATGTAACTCTATGTGTAAAAATATGTAAATTTACGTGTAAAAATATGTAACTCGCGTTCAGACAGGTCAAATGTAACTCGTGTGTATAAATATGTAACTCGCGTGTATAAATATGTAACTTGCTTATAAAAAGATGTAACTCGCTCATAAAAAGATGTAACTCAATGTAACTGAGGTCACTGATCCACTCCCAAACAGATTCGATCTTCTATTTCACAAACCTATCATCTCCCTGCAATTCATATGCAACTCGTGTGTAAATATATGTAACTTGCGTGTAGAAATATGTAACTTTACGTGTAAAAATATGTAACTTCACGTATAAAAATATGTAACTCACATGTATAAATACATAATACAATAAATTTTTTATATACACAATTTTAAGATAAATTGTGATTTACACAATTATTTTTCTAAATTAAATTTAGTTCGATTTTCCTTATAATCCAATACCATTAATATAATAGTTCGATAAGTTTTTAAAATTACATAAGCCATATTGGTCTCATTTGAAAGATCATGAAAAATAAAAAATGTTGATATAAATTTTATAAAAATCGGATCAAAAATAAAAAAGGTATTATCATTTGTTAACGACAAAAGCAAAAAAAGAAAGAAAAGAAACAAACAATCCTACGGATCTTTTGATATATTACCACTCCAACGGCTCTTTTGACATCCTCGAGAGGCCATTAGGTCCTTCCGCATCCGTCAGCCGTCACCCTCTGCATGTGCAAAGCTCAATCGACCATCCGCCTGCGAAGCAATCGCAGAAATGAAATGGCCGACACCTATGGGTCTGCCAAGAAGAATGCTTCGAGACCATCAGGTCAGCAGTCTCACCTTCCGCGGGTGTGAAACCCTAGCCCTTCAAAAACAATTGTTCCTAAAGTAAGTTTATCAATCGTGGAAAAGTAAAGATAAGTCATTAGTATATTATTCATGTTTGCATATCTTTATCAGTTCACTACTTTTCAGTTTTCAGGCAGTAGATAAGGTTTTGGAATGACCTATTTGTCGAGTGATGGCACTGAAGTAGTACGTAAAGCAAGGGTTTGAAATTATTCAACCAAATTGTTTTGTAAGTTTTCTCCCACCACAAATAATTTATAGTTTTTTGTTGTTTCTATTTATTTGATCTTTCATTTCACCACCAATAGCCACAGATTCAGTTTTTTGTTGCTCAATTACATATGCTTTGTGTGATATGCAGTTCTATTTTTTTTTACTTCCCTTTGAACATTTTTATCTGCATTTTTTTTGCATGATTACATATACTTCTACAGATTACACTGCGAATTAGATCATCAATAGTTCAGGTCCTATTTCATGACACATACCTTACTGTCTTCCAGGAGCAGATATTAAAACATAGACACTCTAGAAACATGGAACCTGAAACAGTGATTTTGTTTATGATCTTACATGAAGTATGACACATTGATATATTGTAGGATGCTCCAGGATGCTCAGTTTGTTGTAATTTCAGGCATACTTGTTGTGTGCTTCTTTTTACCTTTTGTTTCTTGATTCTGCAGGACCTTAAAAGCTCTTGCGGAAGTTGACAATCATGGAAGCCAAGGCACATTCATTGCAAGAATTCCAGTTTGACGTTTTTCTGGCAAGAGTCACTAGAAGTGTTGCAAAACTGACAATGATCTGGACCATTTCTCTGCTATAAAGGTGAAATTGAACCCTGTTAATGTTTTTTCCCTTGTTATTGTATTATTTGTTTTCTATTCCTTCTTAACATGGGAAAATTTTATATGGGCATTGCAGTTTTAAGATTTGGACTTTTAGTAACCCGAGATTTGCCCATCGTGAGAAGGCAATCAACAGAACACTCTTGGATGAAGAAATGCAGGATACTTGAGAGATGTTACATGATAAATGCAGGTGTATATATATGTTATGCCTTTGTTCTCTTTAGGCGCCCCTTGTCATAATATTTTTCAGTTTAAACATAGAGTGGTGGGTATTAACAAGTGTTTTACCATGTTATAATAACTAAGTGGTATCAATAAGAAATTATATTCCGTTTGTTTACTATTACTAGTCCTACATGAATACTTTTCTTTTGTGCCAATTGTTTTTGTTTTTTTGAACAGGATAAACTAATTCAAAAGAAGCCCAATCGAAAAGGTCCAAATGTGAGTAGTCTACTGGCCGGATAATTCAGATTTGTCTAATCTGAGTATAGTATCGTGAGATAACCGAAGTCTCCAACACCAAATGTTTCGCCAAGTCCTTACCAAGCAGCAGAAATGTCAACTGAATTCTTGGTAAGCACATAATGGTGCGAGTGATAGCTTGAACCTGCTGATGATACCCCTTGATGGGACACAGTCTTGCTAGAAATCTGAGGTTCAAGTTCCTAGAGTAAGTTTGGCAAGCCTGGAAAACAATAAAGTGGTTCATAATATCTTTTTCTTTTTTGCATCTCTTTGACCGTTCACTGCTTTTCAGGCAGTAGAGAAGATTTCGGCAGGAGTTATATGGGGAGTGATGGCACTAGAAGAAGTACGTTCCAAGCATAGTTTAGAAATTATGCAACCAAATTGTTCGGTAAGTCATCTCCCTCTAGCAAGAAGTTATGTATTTTTTCCTTTCTAATTATTTGATCTTCATGTCACAATCACTTACAGCCTATTCAGGTGTACAATCATGAGCATGAATGCAATTAGATAATTAGTCAAGTACTAAATTTTGATAGAGAGCTTGACTGATGGGACCCTAAATGATTTTACGTGATTATAAGCTCATACGTTAGACCATTTCATAAGTGCATATGTAATTCTGAAGTGGTATCAATAAAAAACTTATCATTCTTGTGTTTACTATTCTTACATTAACACTTATCTTTCCTGCCTTGTGATTTTCCTTCTGAACAGGATGAACAAATGAAGGCCAATACGAGAGATCAAAATAACTATTGTTCTACTGGATAGAATGCCAAAGAAGCCTGGATCTTTTAAATGAAAAAAGGAAAAGGAACTGTTAAATCTTGAGTTCGAATTTGCCATCAGGATAGGGAAGGCGTGTATCGAAGAAATTGTTTTTGACGAAGAAATGGATACAAAAACCTATAAAATAAAGAAAAGAACAAATAAAAAAGAAAATAAAAAAGCCAAAAAAAAAGAAAACAAAAAAGAAAACAAATACAAAAAAAGGCGAAAAAAACAAAACAAAAACACATTTCCCTGTGCTGTTGCTTTATTCATGAGGTGTGAAAGCCTAGCCCTGCGAAAACAATTGTTCCTAAAGTAAGTTTATCAATCGTGGAAAAGTAAAGATAAGTCATTAGTATACTTTTTATATTTGCATATCTTTAACCGTTCACTACTTTTCTGTTTTCAGGCAGCAGAGAAGGTTTTGGAATGAGCTATTTATAGAGTGATGGCACTGAACTAGTACGTTAAGCAAGGCTTTGAAATAATTCAACTAAATTGT